ATCCTGCTTTTTAACACTAGATATGTTGTGTGGAGTTCTATTATCCCATTTAAAAAAGATTTGTGTTTGTACTTTGCAACTTGTTTATGTTTTAAGATGCGGAAAACAACAATTCCTAACTTGAAATTTCATCCCATGTAACGCTGTCTTAGTGTGGGGGCTTTCAACATACTGTTACTGTTTACCGCATACAGTGTCACCCAGTGGTACTGTGGGGCAACTACAGGTAAAGAGATTGAAATTTCACTAGATGTTAATTTACACCTAATACAGAATTCATTTGAATTATGTCTGAAGAAGCTAAATAGAAGTTGTAGACCTCAAACATGCAGTATACCAAGGGACATTACAAATGAAATAAATGCTATTGCTTCTCAGACTCATTTGATATGTTTTAATGCTTCTTAGTACAGTATATTTACATTCTGCCTTGGCCTTGTTGACTGGGCAAAGGAAAACACCTCTTTCATTGTCTCCATGTATGAGGTGGGAACTCCAAAAAGCTGTCTATAAATTGCTAGATTTCTGCTGACTGAGACTGAGTTTGCGTCTATTCTCAGCAAGGAAATCATCATGAAGTCCTCAAAACACTGCGTCCATTCTGTACGTGAAGGAGAAAGCACACTCATAGAATCTGTTTTGATATCCATTTCTGAATGAGATGCCTTACTACACCTCATGATCTGGAAGGAACGGTGGACTCTAACGTAGTCATATTTAATTAGGCATTGCCAGATTGCTGAGCCAACCTTTTAATCCAATAGAACTACAGAAGTCTTGTTAACCTTCGTCTTCTAACAGATCCATCTGTCCCGGTTGAAGTGTAATGGATTTGCTGGATCCAATTTTTTTCCTTCGGTCTGAAAACTACAGCATTGATTTACATTATATTACATTACATCCGACTGCACTCTTCTTCCTGTTAAACTCAATGTCTGCCTACATGATGTACCACTCCTGAAGTGTTGTCTTTTGTCACAATTTCATAGCAAAGAAGCTGAACGTTCTGTTATCAATGTAAAGAGTGTTTATATTATACAACACAACTGTGCAGCTAAGTTAGATTATTCAATTCATTTTAAAACTTTGTTATTCTGAAGTTGTGATATTAAAGAGTAATACCAGACAAAAGTGGAAATGATCAGCAATGGTCTCTAGTATTATAACTTTACTGTCCAGGGCTCATCTTAAGGAGACACTTATTAGGAAGCTATTGTTTTCCTATTAAGAAGGCTCACAGGCTTTGACTAAAGACTGAAAAAAACATGCTCATCCAGTCAAATTGAAGTGACACAAGGCAAAGGCATGAGCTATCGAACGTCACAGAGCAAATATGACCAGATTTTAATAATACTGTTAAAAAGTATCCTGGATAATAATATATTAAGTTTTAATAAAAAGCCTGATTATATTTTTTTATCAATAACCTACAAAGAGAATATTGTTTGAAATTTCAAAAAGTTCAAATAAAAATATGATCTACAAGAATTTCACATTTATAACAACAATTACACCAATGATACAATTCCAACACACATGAGCTTAACATGATATTTTCAGTAAGCAATAGTACAGTAAACAGACATTTAAACTAAAAATTTAAATGAATTTGACTTCAAAATACACCAGTTACTAAAAGAAATTAACCATATCTACTATGTTATTATTTGTAACCCAAGCTAACCAAGGAAACAGAAATAGATTTTCAGTTAGGAATTTTAACTTTGGAAATGCATTACGTGTCAGACATTCTCATGAACATTGGGATTATTGATACATTTTTCATTACAAAAACAAACTACAAATTATTCTCTAATCAATTCTGATGATCATGGTCCTAATAGACCAAGTATTGAAAAACAAGCGGCACATAACAGGGAGCTGGAATGCAATATCTTTAAGTGTTACTTGTTTAAATATGTATCAGGATATTGAAAATGAAGGGCAATTAAGCTCAATAAAAATGCGCACAGATGGACTAAAAGCACACTCAAATGATCCTAAATTATATCGCTTAGTTTATTCTATTAAATAATGAAGGTTTGGCTGCACAAACTAGTCTCTCTAGACAGTGAGACATACATACACATTTTTTTTAACTCTGGTGTTAAGTGGTCTAAAGACATAATGGTGCAATTTGAGCAAATTAACTTCTTTTTTTAAGTATAACAATTAAAAATACCTATTAATTGCATTTATACATTGTACTACAGTATTTAAAACTCACTCACAGATGGCAATGTGTATTTTAATATTTAATATAGAAGATATTATCGCAAGCCAAAAACGTACATGCATGTTATATTCTCATAAACATTATGAATGAAATGGAAAGTTCTTTAATACTTTTAAGTCCTTCTTACTTTCTTAGAACTCTTGAATAACATCATGAAAGCAGAAAAGTATTAAGATTTTCTCTCCAAAGCCATTTTAACACATACTGTACATCTCATCAACCTGAAAACATAGATTGTAGTGTTTAAAATAATGGTATTAAGATTGCACAAATAACAAAATCTACAGTACTAAGCTGTTCTGGGCCCTGGAAACATATGTGATATTTCTGAGTGATGGGATTCCCTAATTGCTTAGCAGAGTGCTATTTGAGCACATTTTAAGTAGGTTTCTTTTTCACTTTCACTTTGTTTCATGCCTTTGAAGTTTTCCTTTCATCTCACAATTCTCCTGATGTCTATTGTCTTTTGTCTTGTCTGCACCCTATTTTTAACAGTTCTTTCCAACACTTAATATGTTGCAATTTATACCTTTAGGTAGCTCTGAAAAAAAAAGGCCCATTTTCTGAGACACACGGAAAATATATTAGACTACACAGCACTAAATCATTCAAAATGTTCCACTCTTACCACTTATTATAGAAATAGGTTATTTATTGTTCATTATTAAATGGTTCAAATTAATTCACAACTTGTTGTTTTGCTCATATCAAACCGTAAGAAAAAGCTTCGGCTTTCTGGCAGGCTGAACATGGTAAAACATATCACATTCATGAACAAAGGCGGTAAGCAATTTAAAGAGATAAATATTGGCTGTAGGTGAAGCTGGGAAATGTGTCTGAGCCATTGGGAAACATACAGTATGTAATTTCAATACTCCTCAGGTTGACAGAATAACCAGATAGGTTATAATAGCAACATATTTCGAAACTGCTTCTAGTGTTCCCCTTCAGCCTCTCAGGTCCCTCAAAGACCGGATTCTTCAGCAAATAACAGGCAACCACAAAATGTTAAAAGTGATGCCTTATTCGTGACCTCAGAACAGCAATGCAAAAAGCACAGTGTCTGTGGTTGGGTGTAAATGCAAAACCTGATACATCAGTGAGTCCTCAGGAGAGGACAGAGCTTACTGTAAGAGAGGTGGCATGAAGGAACAAGGGCGCATGAAAATTGTGTGTAGGCATATTCAATATCCACTCATTACCTAATGTTCAAAGTATGTTGCTTCTCACCCCTACAAGCTACTTATATTTGTTCAAACAATATTTTACAACTTTCGGGCAATACCCAGAAAAAATTAAACAAAACTTCAGAACATGACCTTTTTTAAGAAGAATGCTAATCCAGTGCAGAGACTTATCCGATAAGGTTACATTTTTTTTTAAAGAATGCTGCAAGAGAAGAAACTGTTCTTTGAAAACATGTGCAAATCTGCCTTTTAAAGACAGGCTGGACCAATAAACATTTACCAAAAGGAAATTAAGATTTAAGAAATTTAAGATATTTCTATTTCATAAGGAACAGCATTTGTATTTTTAGTCATTTGAAATCTGTTATTTGTTGTGTTGTATGTATTACACTCCCCCGAACAGATTGTGTGTTACCCTTGTTCCAAGAATGCTGACATTTACTGATTAACATTTACCTGGCATATTTCTTTGTGGAAACATGCAATGACTGACAATATAAATTTTAAGAAAATTGAAGGTTGCAACTGCATTCAGTAATGTTGATTCATGTCACTCATCCATGACAGTAATATGGGTCTACAGCTTTTTATTTTGTAGAAAGTAATGGTGCTATAGGTTTTCCTCCTTTTCAATGGGAGGGCCCATTATTTTTGTTCCATATACTCTTTTAAATCCTCCCTGTAGAAATAGCCATTCTCTGTGTTGTAAGGGGATGTTACATTAAAACCACACAGCACAGATCACGAAGGAATGTACAGCTAACTGTGATATAGCAGCTTTTATTTTAAAGTTAGTGGTATCTCCTGGGAAGACTTTGAAAATCACCTACACTACTTTTACAAGTATGTCCAAGACACAGTCAAACCCTAAATATTGAAACAAAATTTCAAAATCACTATAGCAAATGTGAGAGGCCTACATTTCCAAGCTACCTTAGTATCTAGTACTTCAGAATAATTTCATTCCATGGGGGAAAAAAATCCCTTGGTTATTGTGAGCTATAAAGCAGCGATGGTACTAATGTACTTATTTAGTAGTTTACATCATGTATACAATTTATGTTTGTTCTAATAATTTTATAATCTTAAGTTATTATTTTATTTTATTTTTCAGTTTTTGTTTGATTAGTCTACTCTGCACAGCTAAGTGATTAAAAAAATGATTTTATCTTACCAAATATTTCGATAAAGTCCAGGCAAGTTGGCTATCGTACATTAAATTAACACCCTGTAGCTTTTTCTTCATCTTTTCTTGGCATCGGTTGGTTAAACTTTATTCAGTGGAAATATACATATTCTTTCGTCTTGTTTTCATGTTAAAATGCGAAACCAAACATATTGTGCTAGGATCAAACTGCGTAAGGGTTATTTATATGTTGCTGCTCGTTTTAAAGCGAAGTTCTGAACTTAATCCTGCTCTACTCTTTTGTTACTACCAACTTCAGCACCATGGCAACAGAGCTGCTAACGCAACAAAAGTCGCAGTTCATGACACAAAATTTCAGGTTCCCGCAAATAAAATGCGCCTCGAAACAAGTAAACTTTTGCACATACAGTACGTGTATCGATTTCCTTACCTTTTTTCAATCTCAACTCTTCTCTTTCGGTGTTCTCATTCCGACGCAATTTGTTCATCATGAACTCCGTCGAAGGCAAAACCCGTGCTAGGAATATATAAAGTGCTGCTTTTCGTGCCTCCGCTTACCGTCCCCTGCATTTAGCGTTAAGTTCAAGGGGAAACCCTTAACACAGCTGTCGTATAAAGGCGCTCAAGTCCTACAAAATCCAAACTTGTTTTCCAAACGTAAAAGTCGGAAGTAGAGGAGAGACAGGTGCTTGACTCGACGTCACAGTGCGAACACGCAAGTGACAACATAATAGCAAAACGTCTTCCCAATTGACCCCTGGCTGAAGTCAAATACCTGTTAAATTTTTAAAGCAAATATGTATCCAATCGCCACAATTCCCAACACACAATGCAACAATATTTATGGGGTTTCTCTGGCGATCCTTTTTGTTTACATCCGTACTGTAAGTCGTTGGACACTTACAGTACATCTTACTGTACATACTGTATGGTAGATCGGTTTGATGCACCTTGCAGAAAAAGACATTTGCGGTTGCGGGATGTACTGTATAAACAGTGAAAGTCCTGAAATATCCGATATGCGTGAAAGTGGACCTCACATTGGGGAACTAACAAAAGGTGAAGACTAACTAGACAGCAGGAACATGAACTAGAATTACGATACGTATAAAGCGTTTCCGAAAACAGACTACCAGCAAAACCTATCGGTGATTTACCCCGGTCCAAAATATTGAAATTATATATGTATTAAATGTTTTATAAATCATATTAATAATGAATTAATCTTTGTTATAATACTGGTAGGATGCACTCAGAATATAGATTGCAATTCAAGTCATTAATCGGACACATATTACAAATCTAAATTGACGAGCAAATATTTAAACTAGTTTTTTTAAGCGAACTTTCGTAGTTCTGGACGTCGATTGTTGTGTTACATTCCATTTTAAAAAGTAATTTTCTTGATTAGATTTCCAATTTGTCTATTGTTTTTCACAAGTTCTGAACTTGTGAAAAAGTTTGAGCAGAACCGTCAAGACACAGCCTCAGTACTTTTTTATGTATTGGTAGCCTTACAGTAGATACAAAGTTCCACAGCATTGCCCTTTTGTTTTGACATTTGTAATAAAAAAAAAACATTTTTTCTGTCAAGGTTATTGCAGTTGTCTTAATTATATCACCATACAAATTATTTTTTAATAAGAACTTTAAGAAGATGAACCTGTTTTTAAAATTCGTTCCAATTCTATAAATTCAGAATACCAAATATGTTTGTTAGCACAGTGAAACAAAATCTGTAATAAAAATAAGAGAAAAGTCTTGAAAAACACAGTTTTGAAAAGTAGCATAGGGCTATGAACGAAATATAGAAAATCACACAGTTGTTATACCAAAGTCAAGTTAATTTATTTTAAGAACTGAAAGCATTGTCTTTTGGCGTATTCACGTTTCACATAAAAAAATGATGTAAATTTACAGCCATATCAGGCTTGAATAAATCTGCACCTATAAGGTCCCCTTTTTTTTAACAGCTACGCAATAAAAAACACCAACATTACAATAGGGGAAAATGTACATGAATAAGCGCACCGAAAAAAGATTAGGATTCTGACAATGTTATATTAAATCACACTATAACCAAAATAAATTTTGTTTCTTGTGTATCAACATATTTTACATGTGCCCGTACCTTATTATCTATATATTTTTTCCCAAAGCCTTCAGCATTTTTGAAATGCGAACTTTAATCGGCACTATTATCTGCAAATATGGACACCTTACATCCTACAACCGAATTTGATTTGAATTTTAGATAAGTAGTTATACAGTGAATCATCATGTAGTCGAATGAAAACACCTCACCCCCGCCCCACCCCAACACGATCTGATTGACTGTTTTGCTTCTTTGACTCCTCTGAATGACTGCAGTCCACAAAAATGAATATGAAACGCAACTGACTCAAGTAACGTCATCCATGAAGAGAAAATACATGCAAATACTGTTCTGCAGTTCTGATGTGGAGAAGAAGAAAAAAAAATCTCCCACATTGTCTTTTTGTTCAAAAATGCCCAGAGTTTGTCCCTTTGTGGAGGGACGCTCTGGTGTCTGTTTGAAGTATAAGGAGGCCAGCCTCTGTTTCGATAGGAAATAATAACTTTAGAAAGAAAAACTGCGCAGAATTGTTGGCTTTGTCAAACAAAACCCCGAACGTCCCAGCTGCGTTTTCCTCTATACTCAGTATAATCTTCCTTTTATAGACATTTCTTTCACTTTTCTTGTTAATTCTGTTCCCAAGTTGGCTTCGCAAGTTGTATAAATATAACAATTCTTTTTTTTTTTTGATCTCGTTCCACAGTTCGGTTAGCATTCACAGTTTTTTTGTTTATAAATAGTCTATATTTATAGTTCTCCATTTTTTTTTCCTCCTTCATTTAAAAACTCATAAATAATGTTTTTTTTCTCTCAGTTCATGAAAAGCCGGCGTGGCTGCGGCGGGCTGTCCGTCACTCGCGGTCTTTCAAACGCGCTGTCCCCTAGTCACAGTCCCAGCGCGGCCGCGTGTTTTTTGGCCTTGAGTCTCAGATCCGCGATGCTGGAGTTCTTGTTGGTGCTCTTCGCGGCTGCGGCTGCGGCCACGACTGAGGCGGCTGAAGCCGACTCCGCCGCCAGCGTGGCCAATGGCAACCCAAATGGCGGAGCGGGGAACATCATGTAGGGTGCGTGTGCGGCCAGGTGAGAGTGCAGGTGATGATGAGCGTGGGCCACAGCGCTGTCCAGCTGGAGTTGGGCCTGGACCTGAAAGGACAAGGGCGGCACGTTGCAATGACTATCCTAAAGACATACGAATAGGAAGAAAGGGGAGAAAACATTAACACCTGAAAGGCCGCCAACATAAGCAGCATTGTAGGTGGCATTACAACCCACAAACCCCCGCCTGTCACAAAGTCAGCCATTAACATTTGATATACCACCGATGTCAATTTCGGAAGACACTAAGACTGCAACCCCGAAAGGTGCTATCAAAATTCCTCACGACATCCCTGTATCATTTCTACCACACCTTACAGGTAAAACTGGCACCCGGGAAGTGTCAGAGGTGAATGCAATCTAACGTGCCACTGATCAGAGAATACGTCCTTCTACTTTGGGGTCGCGAAGAGCGAGAGTGCTCCAGCTCCGGAGTGTGTGCTTCGCTGTGACTTGCCTGTTGGAATGGCATCCTCAGAGCTCCCACGTTGACATATGGCGCTACACGGCAGGCCTCAAACTGACTGGCCGCTCCGATAAGAACTCCTGTGTGAGAAGCACAGATCGTGTTCAAACTTCGGCCCAAAACACTCACCACCGTCAAGTGCGTCATTTCGCAGCTTTCCGTACGGTTGTGCTCATTTTGAGCGCTCGGCACAAGCGTGGAAAGTGTTCACGTCTCCCCAGTAGGAAAGCTGTGGACTCCTTAAAGACTTCGGAAACAGTTTCGCGATTTCTTCCCCCCCTGTACAGTACATTCCTCTCACCTGGAGGTCCTATCGACTTTTTTCTAAGGAATTGTTTTGACAGAGTAATGTTCCTTTAAATACTGACGTTATGTTGCTTGTAAACGTGTCTTACGTATTTAAAAGCAAGGTGAATTAAGATGACAAAGAAAGACACACACCTTTATGTAGCTGATTCTCCTGTTTTCTGCATTTAGCTCTCCTGTTCTGAAACCAAACCTACAGGGAAATAAATTAATTAATTAACCACTGTGACTGGCAGCTGTTTGTGAGGGGGCATGTGTAATTCTTCTCAAAACGACAACAATCAGAAAACAATATCCCATAAGACTCCTAAAATATTAATGCTGCTTACCTCTTTTTTAAATTCTTACATTAAAACATACAAGCAAGAGGGGACAGAGAAACAACAACAAGTAATATACAATAAATAATTAAATATAAACACGCTTTAATCGAAATTTGCAACCTAAATTGGACCATAATAAATTACTTTCTCAGCACTGGTTTCATCTTTCTATAGATTATAGTCCCAGACGAACTGAATTGACTCACTGATATCTAATACCAACATCTGATAATGGCTTTAGACATCTGAGCTGTGGGATCTAAGAAGAGTGTGCTCATTAGTAGCCTGTAAAATTAATTAGCTTTATCTGCAAGAAAATTTATGTTACTGAAGCTTTTAATGCCTCACAGTTTAGTTTAATTACTGTCATAACAAGTCCAGTACAAAGAATTTTCTGAAGATTGCTCTTTCTCTGTACTTCTTTGTTAAAACCGTTATTTCGGCTAAGAGAATTGGCGAAAGCAGCTTAAGCACCTCATTATTATGATAATCTGCTTTGAATCCCCCCATAAGGCGATGGATAAATTGACTCAGAAACAATTTTTCGGTTTCCAAAATGTGTACAACCAATTCATCAAATTTAAATTTTTGGTATTTATTAAATTATGATTTGCGCCGTTATGATATTTATTCCTACGCTACGTGGAGCAAGATGTTACAAACGTGTTTAAATTCAATGAATGTGGTCTGCAAATACGTACAAACACCACATTATTAATGTGAAGACACACGTTTCTTGAGGCTTTTGCAGAATCACTAATTTATAATTAGGAATTCCGCGTTTAGTAGTTTTATTGAGGATATACATATAATCATAATTAAATGGTGCACACTGTGTGCAAATCCTATGGATATATTCTTTGCATTCGGCCAGTTACATCTCGTGTTAACAGAGGAAAAAGCAGAACAGAGCAACAATACCTTGAAATACGCTTTATGAATACGCTTTATTTTTCAATACGAAGAACTGAAAACAATTGGAATAAGATATTATACGGTTTGATAAATCAGTTCAAAACCTGGGTGTATGTTGATTATCGTCATTCGGCTCAGTTACCCTGATCCTATTACATGTAAATTGTACTCTTCTTAAAGACACTTATTATATTTCTGTACAGATGGTCCTCTGTGTCTAAATCTCAAAGTCCAGGCAGACTTACAGATGCTGGGGGAACGAGAATTTACGAAAAGGGTTGTTATTACCATTACAGTTTTTCTATTGTGTTTTACAATGACTCGTTGCAATCGTACCGTAATCGTCTTTTGACAAGTTAGCTGACGATTTTCTAAAAACGTATTTCATGAAGACGCATGTAATAAGGGGTACACTAGAGTTCACGATTAAATCAATGATAATTTTGTTTAACTGGTATCTATACAATTTCTCTACAGTCCATATATAAAGAGATTGATCTATTTTAAAAGCTCTTCTTGAAATATAAATGTATTTATCCCAACCGGTGACACTCACTGGTCTATTCACACAGATTGCTATTTCGGACAATATCATAATTTGGAATAAACGCCAAGCCTTCATTTTACCCTTATTCCATATGACTTTTTATCCTGTTACAATGTCACACGATCCCAAACACTTCCACACCACCCAATTGCACTTAATAAATACCCTTTTAAACAAGTGCAGAATTTCTTTAAGCCTTTTTTGTTAATGTAGCAGTACCCTACTCCAAATTCCATAAAAACAGAACAAATTTAGATTGAAACATTTACCGTGATCTATTGACATTCCTTTCACACTATTGCACTGTAAATTTGTATTTAATTGGGATAACAATGCGCTTGGCTACTTGGTAGCTTCTTCCAATACCAGTTAAATTCAGGTGAGTCACAGGTATATTGACACATATGTACAAACTAAGCCATATATTTGAATCGCTTACTTGTACTCGTGCTTCAGAAAGACCAAGTCTCTGGCTAAGTTCTTCCCTCATGAAAGCGTCAGGATAATGAGTTTCATCAAAAAGTCTCTCCAGCTCGTTCAATTGTTCCAGGGTAAAGTTAGTCCGACTTCTGCGCTGCTTGATTTTAGTCTGCGTTTCGTCTTCCATTGGCTTTGAATCTTCTTTCCTTTCTTTCATATCAGTGTTACCTTCAGGAACAGAGGCAGATCGTAAGGCCTAAAGATAGATTATTTTTTTAAAAAGCAAATACTTAGAGACCTCACTTAAAATCACACCCTAGCGTTTCCTCAATCATAACCAGTATCAAGCTCGGGTATTTTGTAGTCTTCCGAAAGCTTTTAAATAATTGAATCCTTATAAATATGCATGTACGTGCGCACTACTGGGTATCTGACACAGGCTTAAAATAAGGTTTCAACCTTCATTTATTGGTACAGAGTAATAACAAAATCTAGGTTTAGTTTTTATTTTTGTTTTTTATTGGCGCGTTTTTTCCACTTTTTGACACATTCGTTTAGCCTTTTACTTAAGAACTTGATCAATGTAATGATTTATCATTTACTTGAAGGTTTATTAAGGATGTAAAACGAGTTAATATTTAAGGATTTGTAGCCTATCTACTCTATCCTTTTTTAAATAAATATTTTCATAAATGTAATTTTGAAGGTTGTCATTATACTTAACAATTTCTTCATGTTTTGCATGATTAAAAACATTCAAACTCAGTTTGAATAAACTGAACAAAATTTTGTTTACGAAAATGAAGTTCGCAAGAGGAACCGGAGTACAAACACGTGTCTAGAATGCAGCTTATACGAGATCCTTTTGAAAACCGTCACTGTTGTTGCCAGTATTAAAACGTAATATTTCCGCCCTGGCCTAAGCAATCTCGAGAATAAACGGTGTTATGAACAATGTTTTTTTAAATTATTTTTGATTATCACTAGAGCTTATCCGGAAGATGTTCTATATCGAGTTCCGATCTGGACACAGAAATCGTTGCTTGACCAAAGCTCTAAAGTAAACATTCTAAACAGATTACATCCGTCCCACACGTTCTGTATCCATAATCATTCATTGCGGCGTAATATTAGTTGTGAAGTTACTGAAATCGACTTTTATACAATGCAGCCAGGGCTAATTGTTCAGAAAGGTAAACCTGTCTCCTACAGTAGCTGTCTCATTTGTGACCTAACAGTTCATAATAAACGATTTTAATGCATTCAATGTATTCAAAAAAAATATTTATGTTGTTGGTATTCAGAGATGAAGCATCACAGCACTTTTTCAGATACCGTATTATGTTAAGCAACGTGTGCAGTTTTTATGTAACCTTTGCAATGAATTGAGATTACGTCCAACTAACAGTGATCCTCCACAGTCACATACAGTACTGTACAAACACAAATGCACACAGGCCTTACAGTGAGTCGAAAATAAACGAACGTTTGAATACTGCACCTGAATTCAAATGCATTTAACAGGTGTTTAAGAATTTTTAAACACTTCCAAAAAATATCTCATTAACGCGATACACATTCTTTTTTTCTTTTGGTTAAACGCCAGGTTTCACATTAAGCTTTCGCAAATAGCTATTCCCTTTTTTTTTTTCAAATAAAAAGCGTACGAGCTATAGTGCCATTTGTACGTCTGGTCACCTTCTGACAGCACAGTAATTTACATTACTGTGCTGTACTGTGCTGTGCTGTAATGTAAAATGGTATAATTTACATTATACCATTTTACATTACAGAAGCCACATAAAACTTTCACAAGTATCAGCTAGAATAAATCCAGCGTTCTCCATAAGTGCACAATTACAAGTACAATTAAAGTCACATACAATTGACACGAAACAGACATATATTGGTCGGCGTTTTAATTTCTATATTCCACCAATTGCTCTGCGTTCGTCTTGGGTACCGCGAGCCTCACAAAAAAAAAATCATTTTCATATAATTCAATTCATAAAACGGAGGTAAAATCATGGCAAAGAATTGTGCACGTGCAGAATACCAGCTCACTGTCAATCACACAGAGAATTTTGTGAGGACTATGAAAAGATGCAACAGCATAGACTAATGGCAAATATATGTATAGCTAGTTACCATCAATTAGTTTAGGGCTGCCCGTATCCCTCGTTCGCTCCGGCCCAAGCATGTCCGTCTCCCTGCCTGGAGATCGCGCGCCTCCCCGGGCGAGTGCGCTCACCTCCTCCCGACTTGGTTCAGTGGAGATCGGCTCCCTCCCTCTCGCTGGTCCAGTTTCCAGAACCTCCCTGTATGTGATCACCTCCTTCTTCTCTTTCACTTTCTGATCAAAAGACTTGGACACGAAGGCGGTAAGTTCTTCCATCACTACTCAGAATCTTCCCTTCTCGCCTTTTTTTTTCAGTTCCACAACAGCCTGCAATAACACATCAAGAGTAGTCTTTTTGTCGACCTAAATACAAGATGATGTTTTGCCAACTCTAGATCTCGAGTTAAATGCACAGATCTTGGACAATTCTTCTTGCTGCGGAGTTCAGACCTGCTGGTGATATGCTATTGAAGTCACACTATTTATACTTTGCAATGCCTGCCCCTTGATCTGTGCAAATTACCTCCCCTTAGGAAATAGGGATGAGCCCCTTCTTTCTCTGCACACTGTCAAGGAAAAAAAAAAGAAAAAAAATATTATCAACCCTTCAGGTTTCCGATCCGTCTTACGACGTTGCTATTGGCCATTAATCCGGGATTGACAAGAAGCACTAATTAATTTAATTAAGCGTGCATTCGCTGCTATTGTCCTGAGTTAGTTTTTAAACACTGGGGGAAAGGGCTGGCCCGGCAGGGGTGTGGCTAAAATGAAAATGACAGGCTTGTGCAGATGGAACACATGGAGAAGAGCTTCCTCAAAATAACTCTGATCTTTCAAAAAAAAAACTACGACTGCGATCCGGAAAGGTAAAACTCTGCAACAGAACGGTTACCGAACAAGGCCACGGCTACATCTTTTGCTGAAGAACTTCAGACAGCATGTACTGTAACTGGAATTGATCGGACATCATGAAATGTAACTAGATAGTGCAGAAAAGGGTGTTTATTTGATTGTAGCTTTTATATTTTAAACAGGAACCGTACTTTCTGCCCAACCGTAAAAGCATCGTGCACTTTCAGATTTTGTATTCAGATGACATATTTATTATCAATAGAAATTATAATAATACCATACGATTATTTCTTTAATTTCTTATCATTTTTTAGTGAAGAAAGCATGTCTTCATCGAATAGCCTGAACTTAGAAGTATATGTTGTTAAGCACGACAGGCACTTCATTAGTCTTGGACTGACACTTGAGATAATAGAACGAACTCTGGTGTGAGAGATAGTTGGGTAACGCAGAGTACTGCATTAGACTACTATTTTCACCACAGTAGCCTACAGAAAGCTGAGTTTTGTTTAAATTTGTTTAGAACATAAGAACTCGAGCTTTACAGGTCACCCATTTTCCTCATAAATGCAAATAGCAACGAATTTATTATACTTAATACCACGAAAACGCTTCACGAATGATTTGTTTGCATTTAAGATATTAGCGTTCGCAACGGAATACAAATGGATCGATTTACAGTAATAGAATATTGATAATGGTAAAGAGACATCATAAAGTGTGTTGTTAATGTAAACGACACGATATTTCCTTCCATTATCTAACAATTCCCCGGATACAATATTTATATTGCCCACTTTCTTGAATTTTCTGTATACATTATTTTTCATTAGTATAAAGTCAGTGTTTCGAGCGCTATTACTTTCTGTGTAGCGAATTCCTACTTCTATTATTCTATTTAGTTTTACGCTGCTGTTTTACTTAAACTGGTGGTCTTTACTACATCTACTGTATCACCCTTACTATCATTAATATTAATAGTAATTGTGTTGGCTGTAAGTTACAGCAACAGCAGGAACCGCAATAATGATGATGATGATGATGATGATAACAATAATAATAATAGAAGTAGAAGAAAAAGAAGAAGAAAAATATAGGGAAGGATACGAAATCAGGCTACGTTTTAAGTGAATTAAAAGTTTAACTACAGTACATGTTCATTATTAATATTAGCCTTTTATAAATGCAGAATTTAGTTTTAATTTTACCTCACCCCGTGAAACTGAATGAATTTTGACAGCTTTAGCGGCTCAGTAAAGAGTTAATCTTCTTATTAACAAAAAAAGCAATTAACGGGTTATCTTGAAGATGAAACTGTTTCAAATATAGACGGGCTACAGTATACTCCCGGGCTGAATAGATTGTGCAAGTCGGAGGTTTTCTGAATGTGTAGGTATCGCTAACGCGTTCCAAAAGTCTCACACTAAAAGATCAATAAGACTTCTATAAAGCTGTAATTATAAAACATGCTTTTGTTTGTTTGTTCACCTTTGCGTATAACTATAAATAACTTTATTTCCCTCTATAGCGCGTATTCTTTAAAACTGCGGTTTTGAACAGAAGACAGCAATTGCATTTGGTACGGTATGACTTTTTATAAGAATTGCTGAAAAAGTTCTGCATCAACTACAATTTTTATGTCACTTCACCTTAATCTGTTAATGTTATTTTATGGTTATTGCATGCTATTTAATATAAACGACACATTTTTAAAACCTCTATTCCTCCGTTTCTTGATCAAGCAGTAGTATAATTCAAAATGTGTTTTTTTAATTAATGATTTTGTGGTGAACACAAGATATACGGTAGGCTTTGTTGGAATATGCTGTGACTCAAAGGACATTTTTATCCAAACTAAAATATACCAACTATATGCTCAAAGATTAAATGAACTTTTTTTGGGAAGCATGACCATATACAGTAGAAACATTTTGACTTTTTAATCACACTTTTAGGTAGTTTGTATAAAAATGCTTTCGCAACACAAACATTTGCACACAAGCGCTCACAAACACACCTACATGCTACATAAAGACGTCTAATTTCACTATCAGACGTTGGTTGTTTAAGAAATCCTTATACAGTAGATATCTTCGCATCCATCATAACAGATCACCAACTCTGGCTTTGTGATTTCTCCCTCATAAATCCCTGCATTTTTGGTATCACAAATATACAATATGTTTTTGGTGCAAGCCGTGGAATATGTATTTACGATATAATCTACACAACATTACTATTTATTAAATAATATTAATTACTGAAAGCTATAACCACATGCTTGTTTCGAAAACAGTTGAGAGTTTTTAATCGATAACTTCGTTTCCCTCAAAATAGCCTACCGATTTAAATGGTCAGTTGTTGTTTCAATAGATTTAATTTTTAAGAAACAATAGCCACATCAGCACTTTAAAGAAAAGTCTGATTCTTATACATTTAGCACAAAATACCCACTGAAAGATTTGCACACTAGCCGATGATGAAGAGAAGGTTACTTGAACGATTGCTCTGCAATTGATTCCTTTGCTGACTTCATTGCCGATCTGCTCTGAAGTCTGCAAGATAGGTCTGAAGTGTTGTGCATGGCGCTGTTCTTCAAACAAGCTTGCTTTTACTTAAAGTCACAATTTAAACAAAAGGTCTGGTAAGAAATTATGTTTATACACCTTTAATGTGATAGAAAATGTGTAAGGGCAATCTGGTTTAAAATGTAATTTTTGTATTCGACAGTTTTATACCAAATTGCAATCATCAGGCCCTTTTCTGTTTACATTCTGGATACTGCTGCTGAATTAAGGAAACTGTAATCTTTTGCTGCTGCTGTGTTATTTCAGTTGATGAGGACTTATTTTTAGACGTAGTCATGCCTTGTATTAGACCGCGGAAAGTTTCTAATAATTGTTTTTATTTAACTGTTGGAAGTTTAGCAGCGGACGACAGACTCGGTATTTCTGCATTGTGCTGCGTGGAATATATCGGTTTATTACGATTGTTTGGGCTACGTTACAGCGTTTGCAGTTCCTTTAACATTTAACAGTTTTTAGCAATTTTTATTGGAGGTGGCAGATTTGTGAAAGGGGAAGTTTGCTCAACTCGGGTTTGGCCATTTAACTACTACAGTGAGTTCATACCCTGCCCTTTATCCAAAGGCATAATAATCTGTGGTTAAAACTTTTTCGAGTAGTCTAAAATAAATTATTATTATTTATTGGCATACGGATCTATAGAGAATGCATTTTAAATGGTTAAATGAAACTAAAGAGAACAACCGTGCAGGTATAGTTAAAAAAGAAGTGAAGAAAATGTTACTAAGGGTAGCACAAACATGAAGAGCAATTCAAATGAAAAAAAAATGAAAGGGTAGTTTGAATACAAAAGGAGAAGGAGAGAAAGGGCAAAAAAGGAGGCCAGAAATTAAGTGGCTGGAGTGGACAGTGCATCCTGGAGGTTTTGGTATTGGAGAGCTGAGCATTGTCAGCACAACAAAGATCTGAAAAGCAGAAGGAGGGTGTAGAAAGAGAACAGTAGGGGACCCAGGACAGAACCATGATGAACAAGACAGAAGAAGAGAGCAGACATCAGCAGGAGACCTGCTGTGCCTGATCAGTGAGGCTGATGAAGATCCAGGAGGGAGCAGTCTCAGGAATTCCCCGGGGCAGGAGTGAGTGTTGGCAGAAGGATAGCGTTGATTACGATGGAGAGGTCGGAATTGGAAATGGTGCGAGCTGAGAGACGAGAGCAATGGTGCTGGGAAGCCAGACAACAGGTCTGTAACAGGAAAGTGGACTGATGTACTTGCTTTGCACTTGTATGAGAGGTGTAATGTAAACCGGCTTGGAAAAAGAGCACTTTTGATGAGCACTGATCTTGGACTTCTTAATGGTGTTTAAGACAAACATGTCTTGACATATCAGTAACACTGCTCAATAAAGCCCCCGTTTGAGTCCTGTTAGTGACGTATGACTTTTTAAAATTAATGTATGTGCTATTTAGGGAACATTGTCAACAGAAGCCATATAACAAGACGGTCATGTCTGGCAGTTGGATGATGCTGATCTGAAGCAGGACTGGGCTAATTGGTATGGAACATGTAAAGGAACTTGCTGAAAAGAAACACAATGTTTCGGCTGTGGGGATGGTAACTTACTTACCTGCTGCTTTCCCTCTCTCCCTCACACCTGAAGAAGGCTCCACAGCTTAAACATTGTGTTTCTTTACCTTTCTGCATGGAATGAAGCTGTACCTGTTCCTTTGGAGCCTACTCATGCTCACACAGCTCCCTATTCAAACTTCTGTGTTAATTGGTACCCTCTAACTGCATAGAATTTCAATGGATGAAAAGCTCATAAATTATCGTGTCATTTGGGATTTGTTTCTTAAATCTAAAATAGGATTTTTCATATGTCTTTTGTGATGTTCAGATCTATTCAGTGAGATATACAGTTGCACAGGTGGCATTCTGCTGGCAGGAAACCAGGCGGTGCCTCTTCATGTAGTGCATCTAGACATTCTGATTAACTTCATTCTAATTGAAAAGGGTAGTGAACATGGCTTTTCCTATCTGTCCCACTGCGGAACTTCATTGTCCAAAGATTTTATGGACCTAATTGAAAGAGGATGTGATGGCCTAGATTTAATAAAAATAATAAATCAATCCAATATAAATTCCAAAGCTTTCTACAAGGCACACTGAAGAAACAGATGGCAATACTGTGAAGGAGCACTGGCATTACACATTGGGGGTAGGTGAATGAGCTGTAAATGGAGTTGCATCTTAATCTAAGGAGGACATGTCATCTCAGAAATTGGACTAAGATCTGGACAGTTGAGTTTTGGGGTTTGTATGGATAATTACTGGCAGGTGGGCTGATGTTTTGATTAAATCCAGGCCCATGTCTTGTGGTGGACTCTTTGGGTCAGTGCCTATGTCAAGAGATATCACGCTATCTGTGGGTAGGCTGCACTGTGCAGTGCGTCTGGTGAGGATTTTAAGTTAATCATGCACATGGCCAATGGGACACAGTTGCTTAAAGAACTTTTTTAGCAGAGGATCTCATTGGTTGGTAGATTATGGTTTCTGAAGGTTCCCAGTGTCTAAAGTTAGTTGATTTAGCTCACTCAAGTGTTTTTAGAAAGACACAATCTTTTACAGTATGTCTTTTACAGTACAAACTGTCCATGTGTTGCTATACAAAATGAAAAATATATATAAATTGTTGGCAGTTCCACACCATACAGAGCAGTTTTGTTTCATTTTCTATGAAAACATTTTTTTTTGCAAAAGACAAGAAGCTCATTAAGATGCACATTTGCCATGTTGATTTGTCAGTTTAGATCTGGCTGGATGTTGACAAGTTTCTTTTGCCTGAGATACATGTCTTCTGTCCAGTGGCAGGAATATAAGGTTTAATTTTTTATGTTTCTGGTTGTTCCTTAACCGCCATCATTAGTTCAGCTGTTTTATCATGTGGTCGTAGTGTGTGTCTGCTTTGAAAGATACATTCAGGTTAAGGGTGATGGAGCTATAAAACATATTGAGTACTGTGAAAAAATAGAACATCTGACCAGTTAATTGAATACTTGGGTCAATTAAGTACCTGAAAGCAGATGGAAAGAAAACACTGTAGGAACTGAGTGAAGGCCTACCTCTAAGGGTTTATTCCCTATTATCTGTCTCTGTTGTCCCTATTATTTGTTGGAGTGGTAGCACTGTGGCTAAGGATCTGTGCCTCTGGCTGGGAGGTTGCCAGTTCAAATCCCACGGCCGGTAGAGGAATCCTACTCCGTTGGGCTCCTGAGCAAGGCCCTTAACCCCAACTGCTCCAGGGGCGCTGTACAATGGCTGACCCTGTGCTCTGACCCCAAGCTTCTCTCCCTGTCTGTGTCTCTCATGGAGAGCAAGCTGGGGTATGTGAAAACATAAATTCCTAATGCAAGAATTTGTATATGGCTAATAAAGTGATCTCTCTTTGTTTTAGCTGGTGCTTTGTAGCCTCAATAGAGAGAAGTAATTCAGGTGGGTCAGCATGCGTAGTCTGTAAAGGAACAAGTAATAAGTTTATTCCATGCTGAAAAGAGAAGAGAGAAAACGCAACTTTTCGGCTTTCAGCTTCACAGCTGAAACGTTGTGTTTTCTCTCTTCTCTTTTCAGCATGGAAGAAACTTAACACTTGTTCCTCAATAGAGAGAAGCTGAAAAAGTCTTGTTTCTATATTGAGAGCTTTAGAATTTCTAAAAACCTCTACATTTCTGTATTCTCGCTCTGATTGATTGTTTTCTGTGCACTTGGATGTCGTGCATCTATGTTGATCTTGCAGATTAAAGATGGGGCGTCATTCCTCAGACAGTGAAGAAGAAACCAGGAGTCATAGGAAAAAGAAACATCGACGTCGATCGTCTTCCAGCAGCTCTTCGGGAAGCCGGGTGACCAGCCGGAAGAAATCGGGGAGAAAAACAAGGAGCAGGTCACGCTCCCCGTCTCGAAGCAGAGACAGAAGGTATGAACTGAAAATGTAAAGGACGGTTTTTAATATCCTCTTCCGTTCCTGATTGACCTCCATTTACAATAGCATGTTCTTTCCTATGCACGGCTGCTGATTGACATTGTATAACTAGTTGTTGCATAAAACTACAGCAACTCAGAAACCATCTCGAGGTTGATGGTTAGAATTGTATGAAGGAAGCAAATTAGCATCATGACAACCCATTGAGACAACACTGATTCCTTGATGGTCACCAGTCTTTGAGTTTCAAAATGTCTTCGTCCATTTTTTATAGTAATACTTTCAGTTTAGTGAAATCGGCTGTTTAGAAAACATGATTCTGTTGAAGAATGGTCTGCTAAATTCCTGGAAATAGAGGCTGGTTCTAATAATTTGCTTGTTACCTGAGAATTTGTTGACAGCTCAAGCTTTCACTAAGTCCATTTTCATTGTGGTCTGACCAAGGAACAATAGATGGCTAAAGCAGGGTAATATCGAAATCATGAAGTCATGAAATATGATTGGATGTAGCAGGTAAGGTTTGGATTGGAAAAGGACACATGTTTTGTCAAGCAATTTTGCACTTCAGTGCATGTTGCAGGCAGGTTCATGAAGGCAAGAGAAAAGATGGTAAAGAAGGATACTTTTCTTTCCTGATATTCCTATTTTTGATGAATTGGGAAGGATTTAATCTTTTATATTTTATGAGGATTTCATAGTTCAGTAGGACTGTCCCAGAAGAGGAAAAAGTAGTTATAGCATTTAAGGCTAGTTTCTCTCCAAGCATGTTTTCGTGTCTGTCTTTCTGAAACCCCTATTCAGTTGTTTCAAAAAATACATTGCTTAATTTGTATATCAATGTTGGGCAGAGGGGATTTCAGAAGATGTTGTAATACCAGGAGATTGTATGCTTTATTAAATTAAATGTGTGGCTCAGGTGGGGTTGAGTGTGGCCCGTGGGATGCTAGGACTTAGTTTGGACCGAATCATTTGTTTCAAGGAGAAAAGTGAGAATATACAGGTTCTGTAACGTTTTACGTTTAAGCACATATATTATGCTTCACCGGCAATTATGGTGTATTGTACTAGCATAGAACAGAACAGATCCTTCTAGGTCAAAGATTAGAATAAGTATTATGTTGTACATTCTTTTCCACAATACTCAAAATACAGTAGCTCTATTAAAATGCTGGACGCAAGGTTCCTCCTACCTACAGTAGGTTTTGTTCAAGGCCTTGAGCTACCAGTAATGCACCTCGTTTTTAATTGTGTAGACAGGCAGACGGGTGTTTTTTGACATGATGAGATATTTCTTGTGTTATTCATATGTGCTGGAGTTTAAGATGTGAGATTTTGTAGTCTGTCAGACAAGGCAAAGTATCTTAGTAATGTGGACCATTTTTCATGTGCTTGGATATTCAGTCCATTCAGAGAATGTAAATGCACCGTCGCTGCTGTAAGTGGTGCAAATTTGTTTTGATAGTTTCATGACCATATTATTCTTCACATTTTCTTTCACTAACATGGTCTCCCACTGGGAAAGCCTGCGCCTTTAGTGCTAAACAGATACGAATGTCTGAAAGACTGTTTTAATAATGAATATTACTAAAACATTCCTGCAGTCAGACGAGCACTTATATCTAAATTCTCCCCATGAATTATCCCTACTATACAGTATCAGTCAGATTTTGTTTTAACACTGATGGTAAACAGACCAAAATTCGAACCTAAAAAACATTGGGGGAAAAAAATCTAACTTCATAAAATATTAACTGATTTGCCAACGCAAAGTCATTTTTATAAAGACCGTTGGTTTTAATTGCTTTGTTTCAATGAAAGGAGTAAATACAAGCAAGGTATGTGGGAGCCACCAGTGTTACCGAAGCAGATATAATGTAATGAGTGCATTTTAAATTCAGACATTGTAGGCAAGTTGAATATAATACCTGCACTGCACGCAATAATGGAATGTAACATGATTTCTTTTCACCACTTTCTCAAATACAGCACGAAAAGCAGTACCTAAAGCTGATTTAGCATCAAACCACAACTGAAGGGTCATGTGCCTTTCAAGACGTAACGAATTGCTAAACATAGTTCAGTGACTCATACTGATTTAGACATTGATGCTGTTTGGGTGACCCTGAATTACTGTACTCAATTAGAAGTGCATCCATTAATCTATGTGGCTTGTAAATATTTTAGACGCAGACGGCGGTCCAGCAGCAGCTCTTCTTATGGGTCCCGGAAGAAAAGAAGCAGTCGGAGCAGGACTCCTGACAAGAGCAAGTTCTACAGGTCTCGGAGATCTAGGTCATGGAGCCGAAGCAGAAGGTATATCCTTCTCTTTCATGCACATAATAATGTAGAGCACAAGTCTCGATTCACATGAGCCCACGTGGCTCCAAGCAGTGGAATGAGTGTGTTCAGTAAGAATGAATCATAGTTACTGAGCTGCAGTGATTACATTTGCAGGAAATTAAGACAAAGGATGTCATGACAGGATTGTACAGTACGCCTGACTGATTCATTTGCTGTTATATTTGAACAGCCACTCGTCTCTGTTTTTTTCCTGCATTGTGGAGAGATTGAATGCCAGACCTTTTATTATACTAATATGCAATGAATATGTAACCTGTACACGTAAGCATGCACTGTATAAGTTGCAGCAATCCTGACCAGTATGAGATGAACCTTGGGTTGTGACATGTGGTCTGTGTGCTTGGCTGAGGAGCCAGTGGTGTGAAGCTGCCATCTGTGGGACTATGACTGTGGGCCTCCAAGAGAGCCTCCTCCCTAGAAATCTCTGAATATGTAGTTTAGTTGTCAAGTTAATCAGGGTCATATTTTGGGCCCTTGTGCTTATAAAACAAAAGAAATCATGCTTGGTTAAGATTATATATGTATGTACACAAATTCTTAATTTATTGTTTGACCTGTACCTCTATTAAAATTTCCAAGCATGTGAAATGTTCTGCACATTTCACCAGACTCATGGAGGGTGTTACTCGAGCTGATAACAAGTCTTCTTAGACTGTTGTACACAAGATATATGTAGAATATTTAAGCTGACTATCAAGATGCCGCTGTTGGTGGAGCTTTTTGTGTTTCTAAAACAAATACATTAATTGAAGGGCTCATCACATTGAAGAGTCTCTTGATATTTGTTTTCTTCTTCTGAACCCCTGATTTGACGGTGAAGGACACGCTCCTAAGGGGATGAGCGTGGCAACTGCTGTGCTCTGTAAAAACTCACTACACAGTGTTATGAGTGAATAAGACGTCAGTCCCTTTTTATTTCCAAGTGTGTGATGGACCTGTACATCACACTGTAGTAACCACAAGAGAATACGCTCCTGGAGCACAGGTAATTCATTGGCAATAGTTTCAGCCCACAGCAGGTCAAATGCATTTTATTATGTAACAGTATCTTTTGTAGCTGCTTGTTTCACATTTCAAGTTAAAAAAGAATGTAATATTCATAGTATTTGATAGCTTTTTTTTCAATACCGATTCCCATAGTTGATTTTTTTAATACCCATATCAAGTTGCCTGCAAAATAATATACGTTCAGCCAGCATTTGGTTCATTAAAATAAGTGCTGTGTAGTGCTGCCTGCTCTTTATTAATAGAATAAAAATGTGATGTGTTCGTGTGCTTCAGAAAAATGTAAAGTGTTCCAATTGCACATGCAAAACATTCATCATGGTTTTGTAAGTTCAGGTTCGGTTCTTATTCCTCAAGCTGTAAAATGTCATTTGATTATTCTGCGCTACTTGGCGCATTAGAGGCGGTACCAGATAGATCCAGATCTGCTGAAAAGAGGAAAATCCAGGAAATTACCATTTTTCATTTAGAGCTCCTAAACTTTGGTGTGTGTTGTCTGTATCTACAGTATATACTCTTTAGTTATATCTGTTTGTGTGTTTTGCCTTTTATTATAATTGGAAGGCACCATACAAAGCTAAACTGCAGTTATCCTGTCCCACTGGCTCCACTACACAGCAGACAAGGAAGAGTGAGAACGTTTCACCCACTAAATTAAGGGATACTTTTAGGAAGGCTAGATTGTGCATGCTTAGAGTGGATTTATCCAGCATATGGAGCTAACACCCCTATTTATGTAACAGTGCCATGGGTGGTTAAAGACCGCACAGTCAGGGCAATGGTGTAACTATTCATCCTGTACCTCCTCCAGCACTATGCTCCATGTTTTCAAACCAGGGCATTGATTTTTTGAAATTCTGGTTTAAACGGAAGAGTGCCACCTACTGGTCCACTAGTACTACTTACAGCTACATACAGCAGTAACTTGATTTTACTTAAGAGTTCTTCCATCTCTGTACTGTCCTGGCTCAGCATAACCTTGCTTAACTTCTGAGAGCTAATGAAATCAAACTGGACTGCTGTAAAAAATATTGGTCGGCACAAATCTATGTCAAGTGCTATCTTTTCATTGGGTTTTGGGTTTGCGTTTCAGAATTTTCATCCCTTCTACCAAATTGTTTGGGAACTGTTTGAATCTAAATTGTGGGCACTAACACTGTTCATTGTATTATCAATTTCTGTGAACTGCATTACATATATAGTACATTGACGTATGATGTGTTCTTTAATGGAGACACCCAGTAACTAATTTATTTGTAGGCTGTTGTTTAGGAAAATTGAAAATCTTTTTTTCACATTAATTTTCTACTAGGGCATTCTGTACTTTAAATACTCATAGTTTTTTATTAATGAAATACGTTCTTTCCGGGAACCTAAGAAAAAAGGTTATTTTTACCATTATTTGTTCAGATTTGAGTGATTTATTATTACAGCAAGTATTGCCTGACCTTCTTTAGCATAATAAGAGTGCTCTGTGCATCAGTGTATAATGACACTAATGTCATTAACATTGCAAATCCGTGCAAATTAACCAGTAAACTATGCTGTTAAATCCTTTAGAACTACACAAAATGCTTTTGTAATTTATGCAAAGGCTTGTTTACTTGTGTATAGCTGTAGGAATCAGATGCACAATTTTAATCACAAAGAGTATTTTCATATCTTCATTAAACCGCCAGAGATAAAAAGAGCTAATAGAACCTTTATGTGCTGTATTAGGCTTTTCTAATTGGGTGTTAGTACCTTTTTATTTCTGTAGTTTTTCTCTCATTTATGTTTTAGTTATGATATTGATGATTAAAAACAAATACCAGTAATATTTCATGTTTAAGGATCAATTTTAAATTATAGATCATTGCTTTACCTAGAACTGAAGTACTGTACTCTGATTAAGAGGGAGGCCTCTTGTAATGATCTGCTTTCTCACTAAATAAATAAAAGGGCAAACGCAAGATGAATGCCAAATGTGGAACTGGTTCGTAACAAGCAGCAACAAGAATTTACGGAGAATTTGTTTGACTAAGTGGATTCATTTTAAGGGAATGTTGCTTATTGAAATTTTGCAGCGTCCTGTTTGGAAAGACAAAGGAATTGGGTATCTAGAAAATACAGGTCACATTGGTGGTTAGGAAATGGAATGCAACAGCTTACTTAAAAAAAAACGCACACAAGGCAATATCCAGAAATATTTCAGCTCAACCAAATTTAATAAATCATCCCATTTCCTAATTTTATCACATTAGACTGCGATGTAGAAGAAGCGTTTCAAATACCAGCCCTCATTAATATACATCAGCTAGGGGAATAGAATGGAATACTTATGCAGGGATGTCATAGTTACTGTTTCTTAGTTTACTAAGTGGAACAGGTTGATGTGATCCTGGGTGCTATTTGTCAATGTCTTGTTAAAATGGTTTGGGTCGAGTTATGGAGTCCACGACGACGGAGGCTGATAAATCAAAAGTGGATTGAGTGGACAGGAGGCAGTGATTGATACCATGACAGGATATGAAGAAGGGAATCTCGATGCAAGCATGCAAGATATAGAATATGAGGGGGAAAATGGCCCTGGAGTATGGATATTATTCAGTGAAATGAGAATAATAACGCTGGCATGAAAATATTGCTGGGAGAAGATTAGGAGAGTTTTGGTTTGAATATTACCTTTGAATCCCTTTGTGTAAAAAATAGTGCTTTGTACCTAAGGTGCTTGCTCTTCTTAATGTTTGTGGTACCTCCTAAAAAGCTACCTACTGAAACCCAAACGCTGCAGAAATGTAAAATATGCAGGAGTCACTGGTTGTCCATTAGTCACTGTTTATTTGCTTTGATTAATGAGTGTCACAATTTGTGCAGGCAGAAGCCTAAGTCAGACCTCCAGCCCTGTTAAATTATGAAACACTACCTAGGAATTTACAGAAGTGCATGCTTGTTTTGTCTGTCATGATAATTGTGCGGTTTCGTGTTCGATTAATAATTAAAGCTCAGAGTGATTACATGCAGTTTGGAATTTGTATGTGTTACACAAATGGGACTGTGTGTTTAAACAAAGTGGGTTTTTTATTTTTTGTTGCTTTTATTTTCTCATACAAATAATTAAATGGGTAAAAGGTGTGTTTGCCTGCTGTGATCTGCACTCAAGATGCTAATATATTGTGACCCAAGATGATGATGATACACTATATTAAAATATGTATCTCGCTATACATTACTGAATATTTCACCAGCATTCACATTTTTCACTTTGTATATTGTCTCCAGCCACTGTGAAGGTGGTCTCAAAATATTAATGTAATTATGATACATTTTACACTGTAACCTGTTATAAACTGAAGATTAATTTTGACTAGCCTCCTAATTCTGGATTAGTTTAGCAGATCTGGTTTTTACATGTGCAGCAAAGAGAGGTTTGGTTTAGGGTTTGCAGTGGATACACCATTTTGTTCTTCTTAGCATTCAGAAGCTTGTTTTTTATTTAATATTTGGATTGGAATATAGTGAAGGTGTGATACATCAGTTGTAGAGTTCTTTCTGCTGTGCATTTGGGTTCGTGAAAGGTTAACAAGAATGACCCTCACAGTACGAAACAAGGTGAAATTGAAGAGAAATGAGTATAAGCAGATTTTACTTTGCACAAGCTTCGGTTGCCAAATGGCTGAGGTGTGTTTCTCATTTCACCTTATACTAGGTCCTGTTAGAGAGCAAGTTTCAGAGGTGTGGAAATGAAATGTGCTTGGTTTTCTTAATTCCTTTTTACAGGTGTTAAGCAACATGAAGAATAGAGGGCACACAAAGTCAATCAGTTTTAGCCAATTCATTTCTGAGCTGAGAAACTTTTTACATTCTTTTTTAATGTTAAGCGACGAATCAGATGCATCATAAGATCAGAGACAGGTTGCTTATTTGCTGGGGGAATGCAGATTTTTCCTTTAAGGAGGATGTCCTTT